CTGTGAGTGTCGTTCCCTGTCGCACCAGACTCTTCTTTGGCACCACCGCCTGGGTCACCCCTCCTTGCCACGCCTTCGTGGCATGCACCGTCGCCTCCTTGTGTCCGGTCTTCCCAGGTCCCTCCCTCCCCTCCCTGCCTCGCCTGCGCCGCCTTGCCTTCCTTGCGTCGAGGGGCGGCAGCGCGCCGCCCCTCACTCCTCCTCGTTCCCCCCGACAGAGGCTCCTCTGGAGACCCTCCACCTGGACGTGTGGGGCCCAGCCCGCGTTCGTGGTCAGGGCGGTGAGCGGTACTTTTTGCTGGTTGTCGACGACTACTCGCGTTACACCACGGTCTTCCCCTTGCGCACCAAGGGTGAGGTCCCTGCTGTTCTGATCCCTTGGATCCGCACGGTTCGTCTCCAGCTCCGCCGCCGTTTCCGGACGGATCTTCCTGTCCTGCGTCTGCACTCTGACAGAGGTGGTGAGTTTTCCTCCGATCTCTTGAGGACCTTCTGTCAGGCGGAGGGCATCGAGCAGACCTTCACGCTTCCGGACTCCCCACAGCAGAATGGGGTTGCTGAGCGCCGCATTGGCCTGGTCATGGAGGTCGCTCGTACCTCCTTGGTCCATGCGGCGGCTCCCCATTTTCTGTGGCCGTTTGCTGTCCGGTACGCCGCGCATCAGCTCAACCTCTGGCCCCGTGTCTCCTTGCCGGAGACCTCGCCCACACTGCGTTGGACGGGGGAGGTTGGCGATGCGTCGCGCTTCCGGGTGTGGGGTGCTCGTGCCCTTGTCCGCGATACGTCCGCGGACAAGCTCTCCTCCCGCACGCTTCCCTGTGTCTTCCTTGGCTTTGTCCCTGACGCGCCTGGCTGGCAGTTTTACCACCCCACCTCGCGCCGGGTCTTCGCCTCTCAGGATGTCACCTTTGACGAGTCGGTCCCTTTTTACCGTCTCTTCCCCTACCGCACTGCCCCCCTCCCTCCCCCGCCGCTTTTCCTTGCTCCTGGTCCTCCTCCGGTAGACCCCCTTCCCCCTCAGGGTCCTGCTCCTTCAGGTGTCTCTCAGGTAGACCCTCCTCCCGTCGCTGAGCCTGTCGAGGTCACAGGTGACTCAGGTGCTGCTGCGGGTGGTGCTGCTGGGAGTGCTGAGCCTGGGGGTGCTGAGCCTGGGGGTGCTGGGCCTGGGGGTGCTGGGGCTGCAGGTGCTGGAGCTGAGGGTACGGTGCCTGAGAGTACGGAGCCTGGGGGTGCTGCGCCTGGGGGTGCTGAGCCTGCGGGTGCGGGGCCTGGGAGTGCTGGGACTGCGGGTGCTGGAGCTGAGGGTACTGTGCCTGAGAGTTTGCCGCCTGGGGGTGCTGCGACTGGGGGTGCTGAGCCTGCGGGTACTGAGCCTGCGGGTACTGAGCCTGGGGGTGCTGCTACTGAGCCTACGGAGCCTCGGGTTACTGCGTCTGGGGGTGCTCCGGTTCGGGGTGCTGAGCAGTCTCTCACACCGCAGCAGCTTCGTGACTGGTACGTCCGACGCTTTCGCCGTCCCAGTGGCTCGGCTGGAGTTGGGGGTGCTGGAGCTGCTCGTCCTGGGGGTACTCGTACTGGGGGTACTGGAGCTGCCGGGACTGGCTGTTCTGGGAGCACTGCGACTGGAGCTGCTGGAGCTGGGGACTCTGGCGCTGGCGGTGCTAGCGGAGTTGGAGCTGCCGACTCTGGGGGTGACGCTGCTGCTGGTGCTGCGGACCCACCTGGTGGAGCTGCTGCTGGTGCTGAGGAGTCGGACGGTGGAGCTGCTGCTGGAGCTGGGGACCCGGCCGGTGGAGCTGCTGCTGGTGCTGTGGACCCGGACGCTGGAGCTCCTACTGGTGCTGAGGACCCGGCCGCTGGAGTCCCTTCTGCTTCTGGAGACGCTGCGCGGCCGCGACCGTACTTCGTACCGCTCCTTCAGCAGGTTCTTGGGCAGGCTCCTCCTCCTTGTCCTCCTCCCTCCGTAGAGTGTCCTCCGCCTGTCCAGCCGCAGTCACAGTTACCGCCTGCCTCGCCTCTCCCTGCTCCCTCTCCTTATACTGGTCCCACAGGAGGTCTTACAGAGCGTCGTGAGCCTGAGTCTCGTCCTGCGTCGCCTGTTCGTCCTGCTCGCACTGGTAGTCGTGTCCGTCGTGAGCGTCCTCCTCCTGTCCCAGGCACTCACTACATGACTCTGCGTCCCTCTACTGCTCCTCGGCGTGTCCCTCTACCGTCTCCTCCTGCGTCCTCTTTGCCTGCCGTTCCGGACCCTGAGTCTGACCGGTATCGCGCTGAGCACCCTACAGTCACGCGTCTCCTTGCTACTGTTGTCACTGACCCCACCTTTGAGTCCTCGGCTGCGTCTGCTCTGGTCGCTGAGTTGGTTGACTTTGCTGCTGTCTGTCGTCTAGACTACGCTGCTAGCCTTGTCGCTGAGTCAGAGTCTGCGTCTGTCTGTCCTCCGTCCGTCGGGGGTGAGTGTGCTCTTGGCACGGACGTCCTTGAGGACAGGCAGGAGGACTTTGACTCTCTTGCGGCTGCTGTACCTCATCTCGTGGCCTGGTTGCTTGCCCCTGAGGGAGACCCGGATGCAGTAGACATCCCCACTCCGCGCACTTACGCAGAGGCGATCTCGGGTCCCTACTCCTCTCAGTGGCAGACAGCCATGGACGCAGAGATGGCATCCTGGAAGTCCACAGGCACCTACGTCGACGAGGTTCCCCCTCCTGGGGCGAACATCGTCGATGGCATGTGGATTTTCAGGGTGAAGCGGCCGCCAGGTTCTCCGCCTGTCTTCAAGGCTCGTTACGTTGCTAGAGGCTTCAGTCAGCGTCAGGGGGTTGACTTCTTCCAGACCTTCTCCCCCACCCCGAAGATGACCACTCTTCGGGTTCTGCTGCACGTTGCTGCTCAGCGTGACTACGAGCTTCACTCTCTTGACTTCAGCACAGCGTTCCTGCAGGGCAGCCTGCACGAGGAGATCTGGCTGCGCCGCCCACCTGGCTTTACTGGGTCGTTTCCCCCTGGTACTCAGTGGAGTCTCCGCCGGCCAGTCTACGGTCTCCGCCAGGCGCCACGTGAGTGGCACGACACACTGAGGACTACACTTGCGGCTCTTGGGTTCGCGCCGTCTACTGCTGACCCGTCGCTGTTTCTGCGCACAGACACGTCGCTGCCGCCGTTCTACATTCTCGTGTACGTCGACGACTTAGTCTTTGCTACTGCTGACACTGAGGCACTCGCTCGTGTGAAGTCGGAGCTGCAGAAGAGACACACCTGCACTGACCTGGGTGAACTGCGTAGCTACCTTGGCTTGCAGATCACCCGGGACAGAGCTCGCCGCACCATCACCCTGACTCAGTCACACATGGTGCAGCAGGTCCTTCAGCGCTTCGGCTTCCAGTTCTCCTCACCACAGGCCACACCTCTGGCTACCAGCCACTCGCTCTCAGCTCCACCTTCGGACGAGTCCGTAGAGCCGAGTGGCCCATACCCAGAGCTTGTAGGCTGCCTCATGTACCTGATGACTTGCACGCGACCTGACCTCGCGTACCCTCTTAGCATCCTTGCTCGTTACGTTGCGCCTGGGAGACACAGGCGAGAGCACTGGGAGGCTGCTAAGAGGGTGCTGCGTTACCTGTGCAGTACATCAGGCATGGGGCTGGTGCTTGGAGGACGCGACAGAGTTGTCCTCACAAGTCACTCGGACGCCTCTTGGGTGGACGACCTGGCTACGCAGCGGTCGTCACAGGGTTACACCTTCAGCCTTGGCTCTGGTTCTGTCTCGTGGCGGTCCACCCGCTCTTCCTCTGTTCTCGGCTCTAGTTGTGAGGCTAAGATCTACGCCACAGCCATGGCTGCACAGGAGTTACGCTGGCTCACCTACCTGCTGACTGACTTGGGAGAGCGGCCTAGTTCTCCTCCAGTTCTGTACGGTGACAACAAGGCGGCTCTTGCCTTGTGTCAGGAGCACAGACTGGAGCACAGGACGAAGCACATTGCTCTTCGCTACTTTCTTGCTCGAGAGCTTCAGCAGCGCGGTCAGCTTCGGCTTGTGTACGTGGACTCGAAGGCCAACACTGCTGATATCTTCACCAAGGCGCTCCCGCCTAGTGATCATCAGCGGCACTGTACTTCTTTAGGCCTTGTGTCCACGTTTCCTCACTTGCTCACTGCTTGACATTCTTTGTACTGTACTTTATATATATCTTGTTGCTTGCTTGCTAGGTTTTGATCACTGTGTTGCTTGTCTTGTACTATATCTAGCACTGCATGTGAACTGGCCTTGTGGCCTTTACTTGTGCTCGGAGTGTGGTGACGTTGTGATCCACCCTGGGCTTTGCTTTGCTTTGCTGGACTGGTCTTGTGACCCTTTGTTCTCCCCCACTTTGCCTATGGGGGTGTGTTAAACTGTATTATGCTTGTAGGCTGTAGTGGGGTAGCCAATATGGGGTACAACCCCAACTAGGGTTTCATATTTGTACCCAAACTTCTGCTAGTTCATCATTCTTGCCTAGTGATTCTGATAGTCAGGTCCCAGGTTCCCACTTCGTCAAAACGGGATTGGTCCTTTGCCAGCTGTTATGGCGAAAATTGGCGGGGAGTGTCAGCGGTCGGGTTTTGTCCAGGTACGTTTTGCGAATTTCCCCTCCTAGCAGCAACATTTTGAGATGCGGTTCGATTTGGTGTTGGGAAATTCCTTCGAAGTCGTCCATCCTGGTTCTCCTCCGCTGCATCAGCACTTCCTTCTGTCGATGACTCTTCCACGCTCTCTTGTACATAAGTTGCATCTCCCGCCTCTTCATCATCATTAGTCGCCTCCCTTTCGTGCCTATTTAAAGCCCGAAACGCAGCCCTTTGGAATCCGTTCGTTGGTCCCCCGTTCGTCGCGCCTGTGCTACGCCTTCTGCCCTCCTGATCTCCGCGTGCTGTGCGCGCCGTCTGCTGTGGTGTTAGCGCGTTTGCTAAAGCTCTCTGTCTCCGCGTTAGTGGGGCGCGCGTCTCACCCGCGGTCGCATCCAATGGCTGCTGAGGCTGCGCAATCCGGGGTGGAGCTCCCTGCTGCTCTTGCTGCCGCGGTGGGGAGTTCCGCGGAGAGTGCTCTTGCCCCTGCATCGCATCTTGTTCCGTCTGCTCAGCCGCCAACTCCTGCGCTCGCGCATTCCGCTGATGTTGGCGGCGTGGCGAAGCCTCTGTCCTTGCACACGGACCATTTGCAGCCTCCCGCGTCTCTTCCAGTGGCTGTCGCAACGTCCGCCCTGCCGTCTGTCGCTCAGCCGTCGCCGGTGGCGCAGCCTCCACAGGCTGCCGTCACGGTGTCGGCGCAGGTGACAACGGTGGGCGCCGGCTCCGACCCTGCCCGCGTGTTGCCTCCTGAGCCATCGCCGCCACAGCAGGCGGCGCCGCCCTCCGCTCCAAACGATCAGCGCGCGGGCTCTGAGACTCGTGCTGCTGCAGGAGGACACGCGACGTCTCATCGGGGGCGTGGTTCTCCTCGTCGCCGCCCCTCGCCCTCGTACCGTACCGCTCATCGTGGCGGCCGTGGCGGCTGGAGGGGAGGTCCCGGTCGCGGCCAAGGCGGCGCAACGGAGGTGCAGCAGATGCGCACTGACCTCCCGTGGATGTTTGCCGCTGCCATGCGCTCCGCGCAGTTTGGGTCGTCGAGCCATATTGGCTCGCAACTCCCGCATGGTGCTGCTCCTGCTCCCGCACCTGACGCTGAGCAGGCTCATGTGCCTCTGGCGCCTCCTCCTGCCGCCCCGCCAGCCGTTGTGCCCGTGTATGAGAGGATGGCAGCGCATCCGTACCCGGTCCTCCCGTGGGTTCCTCCCGTGGTCGGCATGGAATTTGTGGGGGCGGGAGGCGGAGCGGGGAGGGCCCCGTTTGTGCCTCCTCGTCGTGTTGCTGAATTTGTTCCCGTTGATCCTGCTCCTCCTCGTAATTTCTCTCTCTCTCTCTCTCTCTCTCTCTCTCTCTCTCTCTCTCTCTTTCTCTCTCTCTCTCTCTCTCTCTCTCTCTCTCTCTCTAATGGTCCATGTATTGATTAGGAGAAAGGTACAAACATGCAAAGTAAGGTTTCTAACATAGAAATAGCAAGCAAACACACACCTAACTACACATAGCACATGTCTATATATCCATGAGAGGCTCTAGCACAGTACAGCAGTCCCCAAGGTGGAGTTCGGACTGCACCCCCCCCACTGGGGGGTTCTCGGCCACAGCTGCCTGGCAAGACTTGATGAGGTACCCCACGGACTGTGCTCTCTGGAGAGCCACGGACCATCGCTGCCTGAAGAGATGGAGGAACCGAGCTGCATGATATGAGGTTGGTTGGGCGTTGAAGTGGCGCCTAGCAGGTGTATCCGCCAACAACTTCAGAAACTGTGGGACCTCGGCGCAAGGGCAGCCATACGTCTCAACTGCCAGCGGAAAGAAACCGTCCGTTTCGGGCCGGTTAGCGTAGTGGCTTATCTTCTTGTCCGCTGCCTCCCTTGCTGCCCACCCCCTCCCTTTGGTAGCCTTGGGGTCCCTAGTGCTAATGGGGTATGTGATCGTCACGTCGCAGAAATAGACCGCCCCTGTGCTCCTGCAACGCATGGTGAAGTCAGCGGTCTGTTCTTCTATGGGGCAGTATGCCGCTGATTCCCTTTAAACTATAAAGCCCGCGTCTTGTGCCACCGTGATGCAGGCGTCCCGCAGTTCGTTGTGTGTGTTGGTCCTGTGCTTTCCTGTACCGCAGCGGAACAGGTGGTTAGGAAGCCGTGGGTCTTTGATCTCCGGGTGTTTAGAGCAGTCACAATTTTTCGGTGTGGGGAAGGGAAGACCGAGCCTGAAGCGGCAAGCATTGGCGAAGTGCTCTGTCCCGGCGCGTCGGGTTGGTTCTATTGGCACTGCTGTCAGCCAGTCCCCTGTACCGTAGCCCGTCAGTGAGAAATACCGCTGTGTATGGCCTGACAGTGGGTTTAGCCTCATGTGCCGTGTTGCCTGCACTTGGGAGGCGTATCTGCTGCCCTGCACCCTCACTCCAAGCTCGTGCTGCAGCTTCAGCCCCGATGGCTCAAGCCGTTCTTTCTCCAGGATGTCTCTGGCTTCCTGTGGCAGGGACGACTCACACTCGGCCAGCCAACGGTGCAGGTCGGTAGATATGTCTCCCGGCAGCAGCATGTGGTCCCTAACCGCCGTCAGGGCCGCCTCTGGTTCTAGCGGAAGGGAACTAAGGAGTGATGCCTATGTAAAGCTGGCTAGGAAGCCAAATGCGCCCTCCACCGTGGGGTACGTGAGTCCTATGCCCCCTAATGATGGTACGGCGTATTTACTCTCCTTTTTGTCCGCTTGCATCCTCGCTGCCCATCCGGATGCCTTACGGGCGTACTCATCTTGGTGGGAGACGGGGTCCGTGACAGTGATGTCATAAATCCACACCTAACCGGTGTCGGGATGGCGGATAGAGATATCCGCTTTGAGGTTTTCGACCGGTGAGTATGCCGTTGTTTCCTTATGCACTGTGAAGCCCGCTTCTGCTGCTATCTTTGCGCACTCATCCCGCAAGGCATGGGGAGTGGCAATTCTCCCCCCTCCCTTCTCACACCTCATCAGGTGGTTCGGCAGGCGATCATCAGGGAAGGTGGTACGGTACCGGCAGTTGCAGCGTCTCGGCACAAGTAGAGGCAGGCCTAGGCGGAAGGAGGCTGCTGAGGAAAATTGTAAGGGAGGAGATTAGGGGGACGGCGAGCAACCAATCCCCTGCTCCAGGGCCAAGGAGGGATTGCAGCCTCTGGGTGTGGCCTGACAGCGGGTTCAGGTCCATCTTCCGCGAGTCGTCGAGCAGCTGAATGAACCGGGCTGTGTTGGCTAGACCATCTCTGGCGGAATTGATGTAGCAGCTTAATAGCCTGGTAAGATGAGGGGGCCGCGTTGAAGTGCCTGCGTGCGGCGGTGTTGGCTAGCAATTTGAGGAATTGGGGGACCTCCGCACATGGACAACCGTAGGTCTCAACGCCAGAGGGAAGAAATTGACCCATGAGGTCGTTGAGCCCTCATAGCCGGATATCTTCTTCTCAGCTGCTTCGTGGGCCGCCCAGCCCCTTCCCTTGTGGGGTCCGTGATCGTCACGTCCCCAATCCAAACCGCCCCCGATGTTATGTCTTAAATGGCGATGTCGGCCTTCTTTCAGGTAACCGGACAGAAAGTTGTTGTCTCACAGTGAGTCATAAAACCTGCATCAAAAGCCATCTGCACATACTCATCGCGCAGTTCGTTGTAAGTACTTGCCCCCCCCCCCCCCCCCCCCCCCCCCCCCCCTTGTCGCAGCGCAAGAGGTGATTGGGCTACCTCCTATCCGTGATTGCCACCTCCTTGTGGCAATCGCATGCGCCTGGTGCTGAGGAGGGAATCCCTAGCTGGAGCTGCAGCGCGTTGGCAAAGTGTGCTGGGGCAAGACACAACGACTTGTTGAAGGGGACAGCATTGAGCCAGTCCCCTGCCCCGTACCTTGACAGGAAAAGCATACACTGTGTTGCCCGCTGACGGGGTTGAGCGGCATGATGCGTGTGGCCTGCACCTGTTCGGCGTAGCGCTGACCGTGGACCAAAATTGCCACTTCGTGCTGCAGCTTTATGCCCTTTGGGTCAGCCCGGTCACTCTGCAACAACTCTTTCCCATCATCCGGCAGGGACTCCTCGCACCTCTCCAGCCAGTCAAAGAGGGGCGCCGTGTTGGGGAAGGTTCCAGCCATCAGAATCCGCGTTTCCGCCAGTGCGCCGACCGTTGATTCATCAATCGAGGTGAGCAGGTGCTGCGCTTGAGTGTAACTTGAGTCTGTAAGACCCAAGCCTCCGAGCGAGATCGGGAGCGAGGCTTGGGCAAGGTACATAAGATCTCTTGGGTGTCGTATGTCGCAGGCCGTCAGCAGTGTCTCAAACCGTCTCTTACCCCAGTCTGACCTTTCCTCGATCGGCAGGGCGGAGATAGGCGTGGTACGAGCTACATAGGAGATGCGCCATGAGATGCAACGCGTGAGCAAGAGGGATGCCAGCTGCGGCTCCATCCGCGCGATTAAGGGGAGGGGGCCGCCCATTGCATCAAGGCTGTCGCATAAGAACGCAACAGTAGCTTCGTTGTCACCAATAAAACTGCCAAGCATGTTCACCCCGTGGTCCGTGAATGGAACGCTCTGCAGAAGTGCTGCTCCCTGTCGACCTATCTGAGACCATGCGGCACATTTTGGCTAGGTTGTGAAGTGATCAAACCCTGCCGCACACGCAGCTGCTTCACCAAGAAAGATAACATTATCTGAGTAAGCCAGGCATACCACGGACGGGAATGCGAGTGCCGCATTCGTCAGCGAGGGTGTATGGCGGCAGCAAACAGCAGCGGGCCAAGGGGATCGCCTTGCCGCACTCCGGTTTCGCTCATGAGCGGTGGGTGAGAAAATCCGGGCGTCCAGGCATAAGGCCGAGGGCTGGCCAAAGGACAGCTTTACCAGCGACAGAAGAGGGGCTAGCGGAGAGCCGCGGAGAAATGTTACGATGGTCGTCCGGCTGACGCTGTCAAACGTGTTCGCCAAATTCAACCTGTAGTACCAAGGCTCCCTGGTTCGCGGTGAGGTAAGTGCGTGTGATATGAATAATCGCCTCAGCGCCTCCCGGTACCACCACGCTGAACTGGTGCGGGAGGAAAAACTCTCGAGCAGCGCCTACAGTCAAGGTAAGGGCTGTCTTGGCTGCGAGGCATGTGATGCTTTCGCTAATAGCAATCGGCCGAGTACCCCTATCAGGCTTGGTAAGGGCAATCAGACGTGAAGCGATGAGGCGCTGTGCTAGTGCTGGTGAAAGTTTTCCTGTGAGTATCGTATTGTTAAGTGCGTGTAGGTGTTTTCCCACCGAGGTGTTGATCAGCGCTGCATCGCGCAAGTGCTCAAACGTTGTCCCCGAGGGGCCAGCCCCAACTCCCATCTCACAGCTTCCCAACTCCTTGCAGAAGACCGCGAATGGGTGCAGACAGGAGGGGGTTTAGTGTAGGGAATGACCAGTCAGGTGGGAGGTGGGCGCAGGTGGGTGCTTGGCGCGCAGGGCTTCCAGCACAGTTGGAGAAGGTATGCAAACTGGGGTGGCTTCAAATGCCAACACGGCTCGTCGTAAGCTGCCACGTCGAGCCAACCCTTCTGCCCTAGCAATGACACCAATGTCATCGGGCTGGGGCTTGGTGGCTGGGGCCACAAAAGTGAGTCTACAGTGTCGGTGAATAATTTGTCCCATTGGCCTGACATGAACAGGTGAAGCCAAGCACAAACAGCCTTCCAGTCAGGTCGCCTAGGGGACTGTTGGCGAAGGGTCAAACGTGCAAGAAACAGAAGGACCTTCCATGCAAAATGTGAGTCGGGATCTTTCGCCAAGCGCAGCAGCGGCACCAGCATGGCCATGGCGAAAAGTAAGCGATGGTCTGGTGAGAGGTGGCGGGAAAGTGGGGCGTGGCGTCTGTCACGCAATTTCGTCAAGTCCCATGCCCCAACGCTAGCGAATAGGGCGTCGTCCTTGGCGAGCGTTTCAGGGGATTTTTCTTCCGGAGGTTGGGTTGGGACGGGGATACCGCCAGGTGCAGATTGTGGGGCGGGTTGGGGATGGTTTGGAGTGTGGGAAAGTGGGGTTGGGCTTGGTGGCGTGGCAATGTTACCTCACGCGGCTCGGATTGGTGTTGGGGGTCCCCTCCTGGTGGATCTCACATCTGAGGTTCCTCCCGCCATGTGAGATGGTGTTGCCCTGTCCCCTCGAGCGGGAGTTTGAGGCTGCCCCTCCTCCACGGACTCGGAGCTGGAGGTAGAGTCCGTGGATTCAGCAGCTACAAAACTGTTGTCTACAGTACTCATATCAGAATCGTCGATCAGTTCCGTTAAAGCCCGCCTTCTCGCCTGCTGGTATACGTTCTCCAGCCCGCCGCCGCGAGCTCTCCCCCCCGTCCTGCTGCTCTCCCTCCGCAACCTGTAGGTCTTCCTCCGTCGCATCTTCCGCCGACAGCGGGCACACTATCTCCCCGTCGCCTCGCCGCGTTCACCCCGCTCACCACGTTCGCCTCTCCGTGCGACGTCAAAAAGCCGATCGCCTGATCGTCGGTCGCGTCGTCACCAATCGCCTGAATGGCTATCGACACGTCACCGGTCGCCTGGTCAGCACGCCTCTCGACACCGGTCCCCGGCTCCGTGGTCGCCGCGGCCGTCGAAGCGCTAGCGAATCTACTCTCCTCGTCGCGGGGAACGATCCCTTGACCGCCGGGGGAATCGCGGTTCGTCTCGCCAGCAATCGCCCGTGCGTTCAAACGCAAGTGGTCGTGGGCGTCGTAGGCGGTGTGGGGGATACGG